AAAAAAAATGCATTGTGTACATCAGAAGTACCTAAATGGGAGGGAGGCACAGATGCATGCTAAGGTTTGACTAGTCCTGTGAAATCAATATTGAAGTTTAATTGCCATTGTGACAATAATAGCAACCGGGACATTTTGAGAGGGATGAGTCATTAGCTCATCCTTTGTGGCTGGAATGATCATCAGCGTTTGCCATTGTTGTAGATGTGGCCTCGTTCTCTTGAGAGGGGCTCTCTTCTGGAAGCTAGCTCTGTCTCGTTTGCTTCCCACGTAATAGCCGCTGCTGTATTATGATACAGCAAGAAAGCCCTAGCTAGACTGCAGCCCTTTGATCTTGAACTTCTCTGCCTCAAGAATCACTATGTGAAATAAATTGTTCTTCATGAATTATCCATTCTGCAGCAGTCTCCTAAACCATCCGCAAATGGACTAAGAGTCGCAAACGGCAGATGTTCAATTACAGTGTGCCATTGCCTTTAAGAGGAGGGTGAATAGAGCCAAAGATATAAGGTAGTTTACAAGCGTGATTCCCAGGTGTCCTCTTTTCATGGTGGCATGGCAGTATTAAGAGTCGATAAAGTGGAGGTTTCAGGAAGAAAAACTATTTGATCATCTTCTTTTTCTGGTAGTTGTTTAGCAGTCCTTCCTGCCTTTATCCAGTTTCTGTCCTACCATAAGATACAGTAGTAGATTCAAGCTTTTATGTCAGTAATCGATTTAGGTTTCATGAAATAAATACAGGGGCGTGCTCAGCAAGAACTTCAATAGAGCTCTGATACACATGGCACATTCTTCATTGCAGTCGTTTTAACTATTGAGAGGACTCAAAAGCTTCTTTATCTTCCTTCCAGGATCTTGATTTTGAAGGTCTTTTTTTTTTTTTTTTTTTTTTTTGGTACAAAATCAGGATACTGTATACAGGTCCAGGTCTCATGTCTGCTTATCAGTAGCACCAGCCTGGTTTGCAACGGAGGGCCCAAAGTTTTCCATGTTTGGTTCTTAGACGCCCTTTATCTTTTATCACCTACTAAGTCTCCCTGAATTCATACTGCAGGACTCAAGTGTACTGATATCAGCAAGAAGGCTCAAGGCCCAGTATCCATTTCCTCCTAGATTCTCTAAGCTGCTCAGATAGACATAGAAGTCTGGCTGGTTATGATCCCCAAGCCTATGCAGCCAATAGATGTCTCTCTTTATCCCAGAACTTCCACAATCTACAGTTGTTCTTCTGGGACCTCCTCCTACACTTGGTTAATGGGGCAGACGCAAAGGTTCTGTGATTCTGTCAAAAATTAATAAGAAATCTCCTTGAAAATGTCTGTCTTCACCCAGGTACCCAATGTAAGGAGTGGGAAACATATAATGAGGCAATATAACAGAACCAACTTAAGATTCAGTAAGCCATACTCGAATTGTGTCTAGTTTCCTTCAGAAATCTTATTGAACAGTATTTTTCTAATGCCTGCATTGCCATAGAAGCCACCTGGAATCTTAAAAACAAGGAGAGTGGATACTACTCAGAGTTTTGGAGTTCATTGGTCAGAATTCACATGTCACTTTTTACGGTACTAAAATGAAGTGGTGCTCAACGCTATCACTTTAAACCCTGGGCTTTTATCGGTAATTCTGAGACACCTTGAAGAACCCAATTTAGCATCGTTTTTATATGCTATCTCAAAAAGTAATAGAATGCAATGCTTTTTGTTAGGGATGAAATAAACTAAGTTCACTTTGTTCTAATGTATTACTTAGGAAAGAATGAACCAGTATTTATACAAGGTCAGTTCGAACACTTTTTATAAATAAGATACTCCGGTCTTATTTTCTCACCCTCTCAATCAAAGTCTCTCAAATGAGAATGAGGGCTAGGAGCCTGCGCCTCAGTCAGCTCTCTTAGTGGTCTCAGGAACAATTCTATTTTGAACCATTTAATCTGTGGCAGGCTTTTAACAGCCCTCGCTGCACAATATAATCTCAGAGGGACTTTGACAACATCACGTTGACTAGATCATCTAGATGTATCTACCCTGGATGCGTTTGAGCCTCGTGTCCAGATACCATGCAGAGCCAGCCACACTGTAATCCCATGCATGTGATTGCACCAGGCATCTGTGTTTTAAAAGCTCCCTGGATGATTATAGTATACAGCTGTGATGGTTAATCTTCACTCTCAACTAGACTCAATCTCAAATCATCATAGAAAGATGCCTGGCTGGGTCTGGGGGTATTATTTCCAGAAGATGTCAAATGAAGAAAGAAAACACCTGCTGGATGTGATTGGAACCATCCGGGGAAGGGTCCTGGGCTGAATAGAAAGAAGGGAGCGAGCTGAACACTGACATTCATCTCTCTGCTTCCTGAGACTACAGACCAATGGGGCCAGGCATCTTACACTCCTGCACACCAGCACACACATGGATGCATGGACACACTCCACACAAACATGGGAACACATAAGTAAGAAATGTGTAAATGCCCAGGGATAAAGGAGGAAGACAGGTGTGCAAACTGAGACAGAGTGATAATAAGGACTAGTGTAACAGAGGAGTGAACAAGGAGTACTGAAAGGAACACAGGCATCAGTGAAGACATCCTGATGCTTTTTGAGCTAGGTCTCCCCTACAAGCACCAAGATATCCTCCACAAGACGCCCTCTCACTACTCCATCTCTTGGTACATTCCCTCTTGTTTCAACTTGAACCACAACTGGCCCAGTCCTTTAATTAAGCCTTCCATCTTCACGGATCCTGTTTGCCTAAAATACCCCTCACCCTTTTCCTGTTTTCACCACCAACCTAGGAGTTATTTTAGTGTTACTCTTGTCCAGCCTCCCAGAGGATAAAATATGCCTTTGCCATATATGCCCTACCCCATGTTTGGGACCCTTAGAAAGCACATGCCCCCAAAACAAGAGGAAGGGACTTTCTCCTCTGTTGCGTGTTTCTGTTCACACACAGAAAAAAAGGCAAAATTACAAGAAGAATGAATGGATTGCATGCCAATGGCCAGGAAATGTGCTATGACAGTGTGACATTCTGTTACTTGTTTTAGAAATGGAAAAAAAAATGGATTTCCAAGATACAGCCTGGGGGTGGTGGGATTTACTAATGCAGGAAAGGATTTTGATTGCTAAAGCCTTCAACAAACCGCCAAATGACCTGCACTTTATCCAGCAGGTAACAGGATGTCAGTGAAGTTTTATGTGCAAGGGGCTAAGACCTAGCTTTGTCATCCAGGAGAGTTACCCGAGAAGCAGCGCAGTGGGTAGTCTGAACACGAAGGGACTAACTGAAAGGAAATCAGTCAGGGTACGTTCCTGGACCACGGGTGAGAAATGACGAAGGCGTCCCTGAAATAATGAAGTGGAGGATGCCATTCAGTAGGTGCTTTGTAGAGAGGATCCATAGCACTTGCTGACTAACTGCCTGAGGGGGTGAGTGTGAAAGATGCTGCCGCAGTCCAGCCTGGGAGTCAGGCTGCTCGGGGTCCTATTAATGGAAATATGCAATGCAGGCAAAGAAGAGCTGGTTTCAAGGAAAAAATAATAATGAGCTCAGCTTTAAATACACTGAGTTCTCTGTGCCCATGGGGTATCTGGGTAGAGTATTTTCTGTGCTGGAAATGCATACCGTCTCCCCTGGTATTTTATTGATTGTCGATGTGCCTGGTGTTGTCCAATTGGCTGTGCCGTCTTCCAGTTTACGTTGTAAAAGACAGACTTTGAAAACTGACAGTGTCACATTGATTTCATGATTTGTTTTACTATGGGCTACAATTGGCAATCAAAATAGCTGCTTCAGGGGGAGATTCTAAAATCCCTCCTTGGCAATTTGCTTCTGTTAGATACACACACCCATGCTAAGTTTGCCCAAATTCAGAAGAGTAACAAATTTTCCCATAGGTAACTCTGCTGTTGAAGAATCTTTTTCTTGTTAGATGGTGAATTCCATGATTTCTAAAAGGAAATATATTACTCTTGATAAGCTTTGTTTTACGTATCACAGATATTTTAATTGATGGATGCATAGATAGATGGATGAGCAAATGGATGGATGGATGAATGGGTTTCTAATCTTACTGCGGTGATATGTAATATTTTCTGTAGCCAGTTGCCTAGGAATTGAAAGCTTAATATCCTACTGTTTAATGCCTAAGTGACTTTTCGGTGGGATGAGGACTACAGCAACTGTGTGGGAAGGAATCACTATAAATAATTTTAAATGGACTTTCATTACATTATTTTCTCTTGGCAAAGTGAAATAATTCAGGGATTTAAGATTTGCTGGCTCTAAAAGTTAGCATAAGTCTTGATACATTAACCTTTGACATTAATATTTGAAAACCCTCTTGACACTGATCTAAAAGCTGGCAGATGAGGCTACGATCAGATTTCTGTTTTGAGAAGGTAAAATTGTAGAGCAAACAAAGACGCTGGAGAATAAGCTACTTCAGGTGTACAGAAAACAGATAACAAGGACCCAGAACAACGCAACAGTGAATAGGGGTGAAATGGAGAAAGTTGGTCAAATAATTTCATCCATCAAACATATATAATTAACATCGTACCAGACTGAGGGAACCTTGGTAAACTAGTAAAGTTTCTTCCTCAGAGAGTTTATAGACAAAGACAGGAGCTGCACAAGCAAATCATCATGCTAATAAGTACTGTATTGCATCTGTGATAAATGCCATCTAAAAAGAAGTAACAAACTAAAAAAAAAGTTGTGGTGTGCACACAGTATGTAAGAAGCTATGTTAGAAAGATCTTGAGTTTAGAATACTTAATTCAGTTAATGCTAAGAATTGCCATCAAATATATAAGCAAAAACTTAACATTTAACAAGTTAAAGTGGCCTATGAAACCAATAAGCTCCAAGTTACAATTAATTCCACCTGATTATCAACCAGGACTATGTCATCACTCACTTGAAACGATGGCATTTTGTGATGTGATGATTTATTCTCTGTCTCCATGGTAATTGTTTCTTTCCCCCACTCAGATGTTGCAAGAGCAATTGAACTACTGGAAAAGCTTCAAGAATCCGGAGAAGTACCTGTGCACAAGCTACAGTCTCTTAAAAAGGTGCTTCAGAGTGAGTTTTGTACAGCAATCCGAGAGGTAGGACGCAGATTTTTAACAACTACATTAGGCCATATGTCTTCTGGGTAGAAAGCATGTTTTCCCATATAAACAGTTGAAATTGTTAAGCTTAGATGTACATCTTTGCTTTCCGTTTTTAGCCCCTTGGACAGATGATAAAACACACTTTAGTCTGCTAAACTCTTAAATTAGACCCAGGCAGAAATTATACGTTTATATAAAACCAAATGTTGATTTTTTTTTATGATACCAGAGAAGGCTCTGCTTCAGCAGGTGCCTGTGTGTATTCTGAACTACTCAGCAGTCCCGTGGAGCCACCCAGAGATTCAAGGAGAAATAATCATAATTAATGAGGTCATTTCTTGTGGGCACACTTGAGTAAATCTTTCATAGTTAAGCCTGAAAGAGTAACTTCCTACCAACTGAAGTTATGGCTACTTAAATGGCAATGTCTAGTGTGATAATGGAAAAATCTCCAAATAGACTGGCATGCCTTGTAGCAAGTCTGCATAATGCTTCCTGGCTTAGTTTTGTTTTTGTTAAGCAAGGTAAAAACAATTGTGCTCACATGACAATTTAAATCCCTTAAATTGGATTGTGGTAAAATCGACTTACTCAACTGATTAATTTAATGGCTCACAAGAAAACATCCTTCAGAAATATAAGCTAGCTCATTTATTTAGTAACCTTTTATACTTTACCTGTCACTCACTCAATAAAACTCAATTAATCAGAGCCCAGAGTCTATAAATACAACAGCGTAGCTGTTGTTTTAGGAGACCCAGCTGATGGGTCTTCTACTGGTCTCTTCCTCAAGGCTATATGAACCCACTGAACACCAGGAAGAGTTTGTTATAGTGCCAAGAGCATGCCTCTGAAGGACAGATGCACGAGGCTTCAATCTTCTTTTGTAACGCTGCAAGTGAATGATGCTGGTTTATGGGTCACTGATAGGTCCAAAAGACCTTCCTGGTTGACTGCAGCAGGCATGCACATACTCTGTAGATTTAAGCTGTAGCCTCTGCCATGCATTTAGCGTTGAGACTTGGCGGGGGTTTGACTTACAATGTTTATGCTTAGAATTTCTCAGGTGACACTGTTTGCTATTTGCTTTTTGTTAATACTGAACAAAGCTGGAATAAATAACTATAATTATATTCCTAAATTTTCAGCCTATCAGTTGAGCAAGGGTTTGAAGGAAATTTCTCAACATGTACTAGTTCTATGGCTGTCTTCCCCTTAGTACAAAAAGTATATGACACCGAGAAACCCTTGGATAACCTCAGATAACCTCGTGTGAATGCTGTCAAAGTAGCAGCTATGTTCTCCAGGCTCTTTTTTCTTTCCCTTTGGATTGTGTAATCTCTTGAGAATTTGGAGCCAACTCTTCCTTTTTTAGAAATTAAGTCATCTCTTCTCTGTCATAGTATTCTGATTTCTGCAGAAGGGACTCACGGACAAGGCACATAAGACATGTATCTCTGCTCAGTAACTATCAATTCCGAGTCTCTATGCTCACAAAACTTGCACTCCTCATGAAATAAAATAGTGATAGATTAGCTTACAATAGAACATGAGCGAGTGACGATGCCATAGGCAGGAGAAAAGTGGATCAGAAAGGGTTGGAACAAGACTTGAACAATTTAGGAAGGCCAGGGAGGAAAAAGTACAATTGAATATTTTTTAAAAAAGTCACACACATCCTGAGGAGGGTGGTGTTTCAGGCACAGCAAATCACAAATGCAAAACCTCAAAGGCAAGAATGGTCTCAATGCATGAATAAATACTCCACAAGGCAGCAAGTTTTCATGGAATGGGCAAGATACATTCCTTAGAAACAGCTGGAGAGCAGGTTACACAGAGCTTCTTAGGTCATATACAAACATTGGTCTTTATTCTCTGTAAGGTTTTCTGGGAGATTTTTGGCCAAACTTGGTTTGCTTTGGGAAAGGTCTCTCTGGCTAATACCAAAATAATTAATTAATTATTAAAAAAAAAAACACAAACACTTGTACATATGTCAAAACAAGAGGCCAGGAACCAGAAACCAAGTAATGAGGATGTCAAATGAGAGATGGATTGTGGTGGCAGTACAATAGGAAGTTGTCAAATGCTTCATGTGTTTCTGAAACAAAAATGAATTGTTGATGAATTGAGGACATAACGTTGGAGAGATAGAAGTATCTGTTGGTTCTGCATTTGGGTCTTGACATTTGGACAGACATGCATGAAAATGTCCTAATGAAGTACACTATTTATGCAGTCCATACATGCTAACCAGTCAAGAATACAAAAAGATGTTCATAAAGAAGAGAATGTAAGCAAAAATGACTATTTTACACTGTACAAACCTGAAATGGTGAGAGTATTTTTTTTTTTTTGGATTTTTCGAGACAGGGTTTCTCCGTAGCTTTTTGGTTCCTGTCCTGGAACTAGCTCTTGTAGACCAGGCTGGCCTCGATCTCACAGAGATCCACCTGCCTCTGCCTCCCGAGTGCTGGGATTAGGGGCGTGCGCCACCACCGCCCGGCTGCTGAGAGTATTTTTTATGTTCACACTAAGTACTTAGTTCTAATTTTGTTCTTGTCTGGCATTTGTAGCAGTGATTTAGAATCGATCGTGCGTCTACAGTCTGTAGTTATTGTCATTGTTATCTCTGCATTGCATTACATATGATATGGGAAGCAATTGCAAAATTGTAACACAACAGCTTTAGTATCATCGTGAAAACACCTTCAATGGCAATACATTATGAAATATAAGTATGTGTTGCCAGACAGGGGAATCAAAAGACAATAAAAAATTGATTCTAGGAGGTCTGGCAATGAATATCCAAAAGTTAAATAAGCATGGGTCAATAGGGCTTTCATTCTTGATCTCTGTGTGGCTGATAATGAGTAAGGAATCTTTGCTTTACATTTAAATGATCTTAGGATTTTTGTTCTTAAATTCTCTGACTTTTTCCCAGAAGTATTTGTTACCTAAAATTTAAACTGCATTATGGGTCATAGCTAACAGAGGAAAACCAGGTATAAGTCACACAAGTGCTCAAAACAAAAGAGTAGGGTTAGCATTTGTAAATATTGCCTTATATAAATTCAACAATAATTATTATTGTATGAGATAGTTTCATATTTTGCTATATGTGCAAGGTGAGACTACTGAATCAACTCTTGGTATATGCTCCATGCTTTTAGGAAAAGAATTTGAGATTTCATGTGTTTTAGGTGAAAAATCAATGCTCTGAAAAAACTGAAAGTTTCTTAACTATTTTTCTGTAATCTGTAATACTAAAGTCTAAAAACAAGGAATGTTGACATCAGTACTTAGAGGGGACTATCAGCCTATGCAGCTGACGAAGGTGTTGCTCTATTAGTAGATAGGTACAACATACTCACTAATAAGCCAAGCCATACACAGCATCATACTTTGCACACAGACATCAGCAGATTTTTCGGTTGTACTTTTTTGTTGACAAACCCTGAAAGAACCCGATTTCTGGTTAAACTGTACCCATTCTGTGACTGTGACCTCAGAGTACATGACCAAGAAAAGGTTTAATATGTGATACTATGTTTTTCCAATGAGTCACATCTATACAGGTAGGTAGGAGAATATTCACAAAAGAATTTGAATGTGAGATGAACTAAAGATTGTACAGCACTTGCTTATTTTGTAATTTTTTTTTAAAAAAAGTAACTCCAATGTGTTTTAGCTCTACACTGAATAGTTACCTAGAATGGCCTACATTTTAAAATTGAGATTCAAATTTCATGCTTTCAAAATGGTGATGTTTGATTTCAAATTAGCAAATGATTACAAAGACATATGCTGTCCCCTAAGATTTCATGCTCTGTATGTCAGATAAAGAAAAAGATATGTGAATAACCATATTTATTCCTAGTTCTGGGAGCTGCCATACAGGTTTATCTTCCAGGGTTCTAAAGAATATTCCACTGAGCTCTCAATACCTAATGGCTCTTCTAGTCCAAAATTTCAAAGGCCTTCCACAATCCTCCTTAAAACATGGTCAGAATTATTACAGCAATACCCCACTTCTGGTACCAACTAGGGGTCAGTTGTTCTGATTGATTTTGTGTGTCAACTCAACACAAGTTAGAGTCATCCAAGAGGAAGGAGTCAAATTGAGGAAATACCTACTAGAGATCCAGAGGTAAGGCATTTTCTCAATTAGTGATCAATGGAGGAGGGCCCAGCCTGTTGTGGGTGGTGCCAACCCTGGGCTGGTGGTCCTGGGTTCTGTAAGAAAGCAGGCTGAGCAAGCCAGGGGAGCAACCCTGTATCACCCCCTCTGTGGCCTCAGCATCAGCTGCTGCCTCTAGGTTCCTGCCCTGTTTAATTCCTGACCTGACTTTTATCAAGGAGGAACAGTGTTGTGGAAATGTAAGAGGAAATAAACCCTTTCCTCTCCAACTTGCTTTTTGGTCAAGGGTTTCATCATAGCAATAGAAACCCTAACTAAGGGTCTTGTGACAATAATTGAAGTATTTTGATATATTTCAGTAGAAATATTAGTTAAGGAAAGAGAGTATCCTTGCATTTTTTTTTAACCATGAAAAACTAAAGGTTTTAATAAGAGGTTCCAGATATCGAGACATGTTGACACACAGAATTGTTTTTAAAGTAGCTCACGAAACATAGTAAGAGACCTGGATACCTTGTCAAATAATGGCAAGGCAAGGTTAATGAATGTGTCAAAAGGAGAGAAATCGTGTTTAACATAAGACTTGTTAGCCCATTTGATTGAGTAATAGGAGAGACAAGAAACCATGGCACAGAACCAGATAACAAATGAAGGATGTAGATGACCAAAGCATATGAAAATATCCACTGATATGTTCTATTGAAATGAAGGGATCTGCTTATAGCCACAGCAGAGGTAAAAGGATATATTTCAAGCTCCTTTAGGACAGAGAGATTTTATTGCGATGACATGATGTGATGTCTGATACATATATTGATCAAATCAGTATGGCTAGTATCATCTATTGCTTTCA